AGAAAAGCATGCTTAAAGTGACGAACAATCTTACCTGCAGTTGGGAAGAGAGCACCAAAATTGAACTGTCCGACTCGAACCTCATTACCCTTGTAGGTTATACTTGGTACCAACTCAATAAATGGACTGATTGCTGGATTTTCGTCATGGGATTCCTAGAAGCAAAAAGGTTAGCTGCTTTATCAACGACAATCCACAAATTCTTTTCAGCCCTAGGATGTGCTGAAAAATCGATCCTCATACATCTCAACCCCTTTCGCATCTCTACATATCAATTGTCGGAAGCGTCAGAATGAATCGCAAATTGATTCAATGCCCTCAAAGTGACATCATTCAACTGAAAGGGTCTTCTCTGTAGGCGGTCTCAAGAGGGAATTCGTTCTTCGAGGCTAAGGCAATTCAACTCGAAGTGCTGCGCTGATGGATCGCCGCCTGTCGCGAAGCTGTGAAAAATTTCAAGAACGAGAACTGCGTCATAGAATACCAACCTATGGGACCCAGACTTTTTGCGTCCGCAGAGTTGCAATGTGGGGATGTACTAATACCACAGAGCTCACCTTATCGTCTACTGAATACCTAGCTATCAGTATGGAAAGCAACTTCCCCTACACTTTCAACCGCTAGGAGACCTATGGAAAGGATGGTAAATATAGGGGATCTTTTCTATACCTATACTTAGATATTACAAGATAAAAAGGTAAGCTCTGTGATATTAATCCGTCTGTGTCAAGAGAAATGGGAAAATGTCATTACGATCTTTAGAAAAAACATAGAAGACCAGCAGAATGGCCGGTCTAAGAATGACGACAGGACGCAATTTCGATCGTATTACGGTGTCACGTATTTATCCGTTGCTCAACTTGAACTCAAGACATCGATTTCGTGTAAGCAAACTTGGACATCATCATACCCAAAAGCTCAACTGTTTCCCTTTACGGTCTGATAGTCCACACACCCTCTCTTGGGAAGATCGCAAGCGCGAGCCTTCATTCTTCCCGTAGAAAATCCTACTCAGCAATCTGATTTTGCAATGCATGGACATAATTGCGAGAGCATGTCATATTGAAGATTATCTAAGTGACTGACATTGAGAAATATGGCAATCGCAAGCACTCCATTCGGCTGTTTTAGCGCCAGTTCCATCGTCGAGAAGCGAGTATTACGATGAATGAGATGTAGCTCACCGGCGTAGCCAACACCTAGAAGGGATGAGAATCCAACCCATGAAGCCAAGCACCATAGCAAATGTACCTCCAATAGTGTGCTCAGAGCCGTTCATCGGTTCCGTCCCCCAATGCCAAGTAACGGCATCTAAATGATACTGCTCCTCAGGCAGGAACGATAACGCCAACTCCGATTCGTTGCCTTCGCGAAGCAACCAGACGGCGTTGCCAGAGTTTACCGCTCGGAAATCGCCATTGCTATGATATTCGACCCTGAAATTGATGCTCTGATTTAAAGTTGTTTTTTCTGAAAGCAAACTCCATTAAGACAGTTCAGCATCAGTAAACAGTGCACACGAAAGGATACCAAACCTTTCGGTTTTTATGGATTTAACTCGATATGAACCAGTTATTGCCCAGTGACCTTAGAAATTGCAGTTACATAGCAACCATGCAAGCTTCGAAAGACACAGGTGGAACAGAAAAGGTCAAGGAAAAGGGAACGGAAGGAAAAGAAAGTAAATATCTCCTTTTTATATCTTTATTTCAATCTCTTTTTTATATTTATCCTTTTTTTTCAATCTCCTTTTTATATGTTGAGAGATGATTTGCGATGACCCAGGCGACATCATAAACTTGAGGATTTTCTGTCAATGTCGATTTAGANTTTTTTTTTTCGAAAACATGGCCCGATATGGTCGGAAAATGATTAACCGAGCAACTTGCAAAAATCACCATACATACCTGCTAGTAGTGGGAGCACTCCCTCCCAAAAGGGAATATTTCAACTCAAAATACTTTTCTCATTGAATTGGTCTCAGCGCTTCTGGAGCATCATAAATTCAAATAGCTTCCCATTATGGGAAAAAGGGCGCAGGATCCCATCCCATTTTTACCCTAATCAGGGCCTCTTTCAACAACGATTACCGAATAACTGGGACCGCTAGTTCAAAGCTGATTTTCATTCATTTTAAAAGTAACGATTCCGCATTCAGCACATCAAAGAACGGTTTTCAGCATTTATTCGTTAAAGTGAACTACCTAAATTCTGCATTCTGCAGATGTTCTCCAAAGCATGTGATGACCGGCACGATGTCGATCGGTGAAGGGTAACGACCCAAACCTGACACATGCAGCACTTTCCCGAGAGAGTCCAGCTTTACCTAGAAATGAATTGAATAGAAGCGCTGCATGGAGTAGGGTTCCCACACTTTCTGAAACTAACCTTATTAAGCAGTCCGTTTTTAGCATTCAACGCACTCTCGATTAACTTGGGAGCGCCGTCCTGAATAAGGGCCATTAGTTGCCAAACCTCAAGCCACCCACCATTTAACCTACCTTTAATGACTGTAGATGTGCTCCGATAGCCGGCGCTCCTTCAGCCATTGTTGCTGTCTTTTCTTTTAATGTTTGTAAATGACCTGAGAGTTGGCTAAGAAACGCCATCTGAAACGAACATTCGGATCAATTGACCGTTCTGGAACATAAGGCTTAGCAACCGCTACTATAAAGAATTTCGACAATCACGAATTCGACGTATAGGAGTAAAGAAATACTACCTTGAGAAGACGTGAAAGTAACTCTTTTCCAAACGTGGGAGTACTACCACGAGTGGCAGAGAAGCACCATTGAACGTTGCAGGAAAGCGAGGAGACAGGAACGTTACGTTCTTCGATAGCGAAGAAGCAGAAAATCGCAAAAATTTGAAGAAGGCACGCAGAAGCTTACAATTTAGAAAAATGGTGGCATCTCAATTCGATCACTTCCACAGTTCAGGCATGCGGAGTCCAGCAAAAAATAGACAATCTTACTAAATAGGTACATTTCTTATTTTCAAACAACGGGGAGAGTGGAACTACAACCAAAGATGGAAAACGTACTGGGAAATGAAATGAGACGGAATGACTGCAACCACTAACGTAGCGGCCAGGTGCACCGATTGCTATGCTTCTCAACCAAGAGACTTCATCAGTTCCACGTTGGTACACTCATATCCCGGGGAAAGCCAGAGTGTCAATCTCTAGTCCATGGAACGGTTTTTGCGCGTAGATGGAAATGGTGACTGCTCGGATGACAAAGAAAAACAGGGCCTTATGGAGTAGATTATAGTCGACCGGAAGCCCTTTTAGGGTTCTATCGATTCATGACGCTGAAGAAGGCTGGAATTTCAGCAAATATTTAACGAGCTGGTGTCGTTTTACTTGTCGTCACCCAGCCACGAAAACGCTTCTGAACACGGTTTTTGAGCTGTCGCTGTTTCTGAATATCTGAGCTGGGAAATCAATTCCTGAAGAACATTTACTGAATCAGTAAAATTAAATCACGTAAAACGTGTGGGAAGGGGAAATACCTGATTAGCACTCATTATCGAACAGAATCACAGCGGTAATCGACGAGCTACATGGCACCAGAACGTACTGCATGAGAGAAAGAGATGTGGGCACCATCATGGGCACCACACCAACTGGATGGCTTAGATTGGCATTTCCGACAGGATCCCTCACTGAATAGGCGTATACCGTAGATGAGAAGAGGCGTTTTCATCGCGTTTTACTAGCGATCGTCAGTAGGACTTATCGTGTTATACTCTAATTAGAATTGTTCCCATTCCGTATACACATTTAGAATTTTCCTCACACCAAAGGTACTTGTTCAGATTATACTCCGAAAACGCTCCTGTTCATTATCCAAAGGTATCAATGCCAAGTATCACATATTGACCAGCAGCTAATCGTTTTCGTCCCAGACCATTTCCACTAAAAATAGCTGTCACTGTTGATGAAAATAGTAAATTTCAGTGAAGCCACTGACTCTGACCGTTCCAGTTGCCATTCTACCAATGATCTTATACACGAAAAGCATTCTTTCCTTTCAACAGACCCTCAGCGGTGCTGCTCTTGACATCGGCGGATAGAAGTCGAACTTATCGTTGCCGGTTCAGATTTGAGATGGCTAACAAAAAAGCTATGTACATATGTATATCTGTATTTCAAGGAAAAGTCGACAGAGCCGTTAAACCGGTCTATGAACACCGAAAAATGAGATTATTCTGCTAAGCATATATTATTAGATTGGCAACTAAGTAATTCCATATATTTAAGTGACACATAATCATCTTTCTCAACAAAAAAACATTCAGTTAAATATTGGCCATTAAATGCTCAGGAACTGGTTCATAAATATGAACTGGTTTGAAAAAAGGTAGTTCACCTTCAAGACAAATGTTTGAAGCATTTAAAAGAATGTGCAACACTTATTATAGTTGCCACCTAATGGCAGCGAAAACGAGTACAACTGTTCTTGGTACACAGTTTTGATGTAACACAACGACAAATTTAAATTGCGAAATGAATTACTAAGAATGAAGTTTTTGGAAAAAACTATTAATCAGCAAAGCCGGCTGGAAGAGTCGATGGAGGAGGGGTATGGCAAGCGACTCACAATCACACAAGCATGGTCACGGGTTCAAATCCCGGATAGATGCCCACCTACCAAACCAAGTCTTCCTCCTTGTTCCGGTCGCTTAATTCGTTCAAAATCCGTCTGGGGGGATAAAAGCACTGGCTTGTACATCGGATGACTACAGCAAGCCAGGCCACGTACGCCCTCTACGCCACTACGATTCTGTATGACAGTCCTTCAGGCGTAAAAGGGAGAAAACTACAGTAGGCAGTAATCATTCCCTCAGACGGGATCGATCACCGCCTAATGACTTTATCTTTTTATGCCTTTTAATGGAATTGAGCAGTATCTTTTTATGCCTTTTAATGGAATTGAGCAGCTACATATTAAGAGAACGTTAAAAGACAAGACTCACCTTAGTCCCCCCTCTTTTTGCATGTACAACAATGGAAGGAAGAAAGAAACAAGAAAGGCAGGATCTGGGCTGTTACCCTCACATCGCACGACGTTTGAGGATAATCTCCTTTGCGAGAAGAGCATGTGCAAAGAGCCTAGCTGAGATGATCGCTTAAAAGGCATGGCAACTGGAACTAATTTAGGATTTCGAAAGCCCGGCATAAGAGCATAGTGAACCACTAAACATGAACGAATGGCTGTAATTTGGTTGCTATGGGAACGCCTTCCGTGCAATAAAACCCAAGTGAATGGATAAATGGCACCTCCAGGCCACTCACAAACGCTTTGATCACAGGTCGCATGACACCGTTTTACGGAACCTCTCTGTACCTAAGCTGAAATTGACGTCGTACAGGACGTAAATGAAATGATTTGTGACGAGCAAGCTGTTTCGGAAAGTATTACTTGGAAAATACAGCTTTCTTTGATAGTAGGAGACGAGTTCAGCTAGTTCAAGACGAGATCCGTGATTCGAAACCCTATCATAGCAAACTGTGGGGCATTTTCCAACCAGGAGAAGGTTCGGGCCCGGCTTTAAGCTGCCTTTAGTACTGGTATGCGGTCATGCGGCCATGGAGGACATGCAAAAACTCCCTATTAAGGGATCATTTAGGCTTCTAGGCGTGAGGACATCGATCAGGGCGCTAGCACTGGCAAACTATAATTGCGGTAGTGCAGCTGGATATGTTCCTGTAACTAGA